GAATTGACCGGTTGCGCTCTGTATATAAGTCAGGTGATCTATAGTGGGTATCAAACATCAAAACTGCGTTCTGTTGTAAAGTACATGATGATTGTTGCATTTGTTTGTTCGATCGAGGTTTTTTCGTTCTCGAAACCTCTGAAGAAAACCCCTGAGTTTGTATCTGAAACCTTACTGGAATGGCTGAATAAGGCCAGTAAGGACAGTTCCGGCAAGTCTTGGAAATTCTCTAAGTACCGCTGACATTGACGGCCACGATCACACACTTTTAATAGGGAGTCCGGCAATTTTTAGATTTTTTCAACCCTGAAAATGTGGTATCATTTGAAAGAAAATCACAATCACACGACAAAAAAACGTATAAATTATTATTATAATGGCTTGCGTTTTGGAGATATGCCAATTTAAATGGCAAAATACAATGAAAACATTCTGTCAATTATAGTGTAAAAATAGGGCATAATTTATTAACACATCTAAAATTTCAGACCTGTCTAAAATGTTTAATATCATAGGAATCCTGATAAAATAAACACCTTTTTGTATTTTGGAATTAGCTTTTTAACTCTCATTACAAACAAATTATGAATTTTTTTTCGAACACCGCACGATTGTACGAACCAAGGCCACTTCGCGATACGACAACACAACTCCGTTGCCGTATAGACACGGGCAAACTACAGTTCCATTCACGCTTCACACAACGCGGCACAACCTATGGTCTAACCATAGCTCAAATCTATGGTGTACTATAAGGGACACCTATCTGTTATCGTCGTGCGTGTGGGGAGCTCCGTCGTGCCTGTGAGTAAAACCGTCGTGCCTGTGAGCAGACCGTCGTGCGTGTGAGTAAAACCGTCGTGCCTGTGAGCAGGTCCGTCGTGCCTGTGGGCAGGTCCGTCGTGCCTGTGAGCAGGTCCGTCGTGACTGTGATCAGGTCCGTCGTGTTTGTGAGCAAACCGTCGTGCGTGTGAGTAAAACCGTCGTTCCTGTGAGCAGGTCTGTCGTGTTTGTGAGCAGAGCGTCGTGCGTGTGAGTAACACCGTCGTGCCTGTGAGCAGGTCCTTCGTGTTTGTGAGCAGATCGTCGTGCGTGTGGGGAGCTCCGTCGTGCCTGTGAGGGGGCCGTATCATAAGTCCGACGCCTCATAGGTCCGACGTCTTATAAGTCCAAAATTTCGGACTTATGAGGCATAACATTTTGTTATTGCGCCTCATAAGTCCGACGCCTCATAAGTCCGACGCCCAATAAGTCCGATAACGGAACAACGACGCGTTTAATTTGTCGGACTTACGAGGCGTCGGAGCTATGAGGCGTCGGACCTATGAGGCGTCGGATTTATGAGGTGTCGGACCTATGAGGCGTCGGACTTATGGGCCTTCATTTGGTTAGAGGATGCGATTTTGTCGGACTAATGAGGCGTCGGACCTACGAGGCGTCGGACTTATAAGCGGACCCCCCCCCCCCTGTGAGCAGGTTCGTCGTGTTTGTGAGCAGACTGCCGTGCGTGTGAGTAAAACCGTCGTGCCTGTGAGCAGGTCCGTCGTGTTTGTGAGCAGAACGTCGTACGTGTGAGTAAAACCGTCGTGCCTGTGAGCAGGTCCGTCGTGTTTGTGAGCAGACCGCCGTGCGTGTGAGTAACACCGTCGTGCCTGTGAGCAGGCCCATCGTGTTTGTGAGCAGAGCGTCGTGCGTGTGAGTAAAACCGTCGTGCCTGTGAGCAGGTCCGTCGTGTTTGTGAGCAGACCGCCGTGCGTGTGAGTAAAACCGTCGTGCCTGTGAGCAGGTCCGTCGTGTCTGTGAGCAGAACGCCGTACGTGTGAGTAAAACCGTCGTGCCTGCGAGTAAAGCCGTCGTGCGTGTGTGGAAAACTGTCGTGTTTGTGAGTAAAACCATCGTGCCTGTGATTAAAACTGTCGTGCGTGTGAGTAAAACCGTCGTGTTTGTGAATAAAACTGTCGTGCCTGTGAGTAAAACCGTCATGCTTGTGAGTAAAACCGTCGTGTTTGTGAGTAAAACCGTCGTGCGTGTAAGTAAAGCCGTCGTGCCCATGAGGCGCCATGTGTAAATAATTTATTAAACAAAATTATTTATATATAATTCATTATTTATTATATAATTCAGTTTTCCGGACAATTACATGTCAATAATTGTTTGGCAGTTTGCATTATATGTAAATAAATTTATTTGCCACTGAAATATTAATATATATATTTTTTTTTTGCAATCTAATTATTTACATATAATTTTGGGCAAACTAGAATGATTTATATATAATTTATTTGCAAACTTATTATTTATATATAATTTTTGCACACTTTTTTATTTATTTATAATTTAATTGCAACCTTTTTATTGATAGATAATTTTTGTGCACTTTATTTATTTATATATAATAATAGCCCCACCAGTCTTGGAGGGTGCTAGGCGTAGTGTTTTTAAAGATTAACACGAACTTGGTCAAAATTGGTCAAAATTCAAAATCTTACTTAAGAACTATTTATTTCTTTTGAATTGAGGCACTGCATTATATAATAAATAATGAATTTTATATTAAATAATGCATTATATATAAATAAATAAAGTGTGCAAACAATTATATTTAAATAATAAGGTACCAAATAAATCATATAAAAAATAATTTTAAAAAAGCGTGCATACAAATATATATACAAATAATGAGGTACCAAATAAATTATATATAAATAATAAGGTTGCAAAAATATTATATATATAATAATGCAGTGGCAAATATATTTATTTACATATAATGCAAACTGCCAAACAGTTATTAACATATAAGTGTCCAGAAAACTGAATTATATAATAAATAATGAATTATATATAAATAATTTTGTTAAGTAATTTATTTACACATGGCGCCTCATAGGCACAACGGCTTTACTCACACGCACGACAGTTTTACTTACAAACACGACGGTTTTACTCACAGGCACGACGGTTTTACTCACAGGCACGACGGTTTTACCCACAAACACGACGGTTTTACTCACACGCACGACGGTTTTACTCACAGGCACGACGGTTTTACTCACAGGCACGACGGTTTTACTCACAGGCACGACGGATTTACTCACACGCACGACGGAATTGCTCACAGGCACGACGGTTTTACTCACACGTACGACGGTCTGCTCACAAACACGACGGACCTGCTCACAGGCACGACGGTTTTACTCACACGCACGACGGTCTGCTCACAAACACGACGGACCTTCTCACAGGCACGACGGTTTTACTCACACGCACGACGCTCTGCTCACAAACACGACGGACCTGCTCACAGGCACGACGGAGCTCCCCACACGCACGACGGTCTGCTCACAAACACGACGGACCTGCTCACATGCGCGACGGTTTTACTCACACGCACGACGGTCTGCTCACAAACACGACGGACCTGCTCACAGGCACGACGGAGCTCCCCACACGCACGACGGTCTGCTCACAAACACGACGGACCTGCTCACAGGCACGACGGACCTGCTCACAGTCACGACGGATCTGCTCACAGGCACGACGGAGCTCCCCACACGCACGACGATAACAGATAGCTGTCCCTTATAGTACACCATACAAATCGGTCAATTATTTTCTGCCTTCAACATCATTTCGTGTTTGACTCTTGTGTTTTTTCTTCTTCTTTTTTTTCTCTTCAGATGTTTAAAATGAGAAAGGGCCATCAAGTCATGGGATCGGGCTGGATATCATCTGCATTGCTGACAGCACTGATTGCTATCGGTACGTCGTTATTAACCAATATTCTATCTATATGGGTCTGAGGTATTTATTTGAATAATGAGTGGAGTGGAGTTGCTCCGTGGTCCGGAGCATCAAACTCAAATTATGTGGGAAATTGTTCAGGTTGTGGGTTCGAGTCCAGCCTGGGCTTGCTATGCGTGTGTCCCGTTGGCAAGACACTTTTCGTCACACAGGAATAGGTAACTGCGATGGCAGAAGTGGTTCATATTATTGATTTTGGCTGCTTTGCACCTAAATGGCAGCATCGAGGTGTATACATCCAAAGGCCTGGAGCTGAGTTAGTTGTTTTATGATCCTAACGAGAATTAGGGGTAACAGTGGTTTGAGAGTCCCTCTAGTTGCGCTACAAAAAAGAAAAGAAAAGTAGTTTTGTACGACATTGTGAAGTGTGAATTTAAGGTCTGAACGGTTTGTAAAGATCCCATCATAATTTTAAGTATTGTGCTTGATTCATCATTTGGCACAGGCTGGAGTTTTCGGTGGAATTGTATATGATTATGTTGGATATTCAAACTGCTTTAAAATCAAAGTTGTTTCCAGACTTTGCATCACAAAACATTTTCATATATTTCATGCGTGCCGATCTGTGATATGTCGTTGTGATCATCATATTTTGACTGCTGGGCAATCCAGTAAAATCCGACGTATACGTCCTACCACATTGTGGTGTACGAACATGTACAATGTCGTTAAGGTGGTGGTACCTCAGTTTGGTCTGTAATTTTTTTTTTTGCTCATTAGATGTCACATCACATTCACTGTTCCAGCAGCAGGTCATTGAAATGTCTGACATGTACGTCTAGATTTACAGAATGGTCCTGCTATGAAAAGTGGTCCAACTTTTATCTTGTACGGACTCTAATATTATGTGACATTTATCTTCCCTAATAAATGTGCAGCACGTGCAACCATTGAGTCAGTATTTCATAAAGTCCAAATTCAACAGCTACATCGGCCAATTCTTGTGATGAATTTGCATTCGTAAACGTGCAATTGCCGGTAGGTTTCTTGGCTTGGACTCGTATTTAATTGAACGTTTCTGTGATACGAATGAAAACAAATTCGGCAGGGCAAGAACTTGGATGCGCCTTGCTCCATAGTCCCTCACACTTCTTGACCTGTATGCAGTTTCACATTGTTTTCACTCGTTTGGTTGTTTCTTTATTTTTCTCACTGAATAATGCAGTCGTCAGTTCAGTTTCAGCCCGAGTCTGTACTCTGATGATTGACCTAGACTCACGCGGTTGCGGCCAGCGCATGGGGAGATTTGTCCTGCCACCAGGCGATCCTTGCACCTGTACAGGGGTCAGACTGGGCGGTCATTACCACCGCTACGCGCCTGAGATGCAGGGACAGGATCCACCGTTGTATATGGACATGCTGCCGGAGGTGACTGCTGAGGTCATCGGCCGTTGGTTCAACTGCACTGAGAGCAAACCGGTAGAGTCGACGCTTGGAGTCACTGAGACTGCCCCAGAGTTGACTTCTAAAGTTGCCCCGGGGTCGACACCTGTCGCATCGACTCCTACCGATACGACACAAGTTATCAGCATCACCCCTGAGCCGTCGATGCCGCCTGCAGATTGTCAAGTGATCTTAGATGCCGGTCAGAGCGCTAGCGGTGTGTATACCATCCGGCACGCAGGCCAGAATATGCAGGTCTACTGCCGCATGGAGTTGGGGAAAGGATACATAGTGAGTAAACTTATTTTCTCAGAATCATTCTGTATTTTTCAATTATAACATGGTAGGAAGATATTTTGACAATTTAGCTCCGAAATGTATTTGACACTGACAAAAAAAGAATACTTCAGGCAATAGTGTTTTCAACTTGTTGCACTGAGTACTGTTGTTGGTGCTAAGGAAATGTAATCTTAAAGAACGTCCGTGCATACGCGTACAGTTGATAACTGAACCAATGACGATAATTAACAAACATGCGCTTAAGCTAACGGGAAGTTGGAAGTTGCACCATATACCAATATGTTTCATTATATTCCTGTAATTATCAATTTGTTTATTGTCATTAATAAAAAAAATGCGATGAAAGCTACTAAACTTCCAACCTTATATTCTACCCCAAATAAAATGAAAGGTTTAGCTTCGAACAGACTGGTTAATGGTTAATGGATTTTCTAGTTAATGTCTGAAATGTCCAATGTTGTTCATGGGTGTGCCTGTGTTTTTTAAGTTTGTTTGCCAACTCCAAAAAAATGACTTCAACTTGTGTTCTGAAACGCAGGTCCACCAATAAAGAAAAAGTCCTTGATTTTGCTTAGAACAGCATAATTGATTCCTTAATGCTAAACCCGAACAAGGATAAAGCGATGATGGTAAAGTTTTACCGTCACTCATATCGTTTCTGACAGGTGTTTCAGAGACGCCTGGACGGCTCGGTGAGCTTCGACCGAACCTGGCAGGAGTACGCCGAGGGATTCGGGAATCTGACCGGAGAGTTTTGGCTGGGCAACCAGAAGCTGCGTAGTCTGACTCGTAACTGGGGTCGGGATATGGTCATCAACCTGAGGGCGTTCGATGGGGAAGAAGCCCGTATTCGTTATGAGGACTTCAACGTGGACTCATCTGAGAACAAATACAAGCTTTTTGTTCGTTGGTTCAGTGAGGACGGTGGAGATGCAGGTATACAGAATCCCCCGCGTGATTTCATTATCCTTCACAGAGACTTCTCCTATCACACATCATGTCTTGCACTGTTGTATACAATATAACTCTGGTATAACTGCTCTGCTCTCAGCACAAAAAAGACCGATAAAACCATATTACAGATTGTTGATAGCAGGCGATAATTTGTTTTCTGTGTCCCCCAAATGGGTGCTTCATTTGGCCGCTTGTTTATATACATGTACTGATACAACACACAAATAACATACTTCAGGGGAAAATATTCAGGGAATTTTTTTTTTTCAAAATGTCCAGCCGATACAAACCCATAAAGCGGGAAGGAAGCAGGGTTAAAACTGTTGTTGAATAGTTTGTTTGGTGCCAAGGCAGCAATTACATCATAAACACTAGATCCAAGTAGTTTGTGTAGACTAAATTCACCGTATAATAAAGCCTGTTAACAATGTTGTTTCACACTGTACAAGTAGTTATAATAGTTTTACAATATATTGTATTAATCTTTTAATATTTGCTATTCCAATGATTTTCAATTATATTATCTGTGAGTCATTGCTTCGTCGCCGTAGTGAACCAGGTTTGCTATACAGCTAGAAGGTGAGCTACGGTGACGTCGCATTTATTACTTTTACCGATAACCCAGGTGGTTCCTTTTATATATTCTTTGCTATAAATAAATAAATACAAGCCTTACTTAATTTTCACTGGCAACAAATACTGCCCATGTTATCTTATTATTTAATAAAGAGAAAAGCTGGTCTAATTTTATTTCCCTTTGGCAAACATAGCCACTGAAACTTAATCTTTTTGGCAATGTGAGCCACAGAAATGTAATCTTTAAGGCAAAGTTAGCAACATAAATGTTTCGAACTGTTTGGGCATACCTTGGCTAAAGAAATATAATAAATAAATAAACAAAGAAACAGATTAAGGCGATCATGAAAAAAACCAAGGCGACCATGTCTAACAAAAAAATGAAAAGAAAGGAATCCATTCAAATGTTATTTTAATGAGTAGTCCCTTTATGACACTGCCATGCAGCATTCGTTATCAATTAATGTACTTATACAAGGTCTGACGATCCTTCCTTTCTTATGCTCACAGGTGATTCACTCTGGACTCATAGTAACGAAGACTTCTCAACTCTAGACAAAGACCATGACGACACCGTTGGGGAAAACTGCGCTGAGAAATTTCACGGAGGCTGGTGGTACAAACGCTGCGGTAGCGACATCAGCCACCGCTTCGTGAGCAACCTGAACGGCTTGTACTACAACAACGCAACAGTCGATGATTACATGGGGATACAGTGGGTCACCTGGAAGGGTAAAGCAGTCTCTCTTAAAGGGTGTGAAATGATGACACGACCCAAATGGTAAGCGTTACCGGTAATAAAAAAGGACCCACAATGAGACAACAGTGCAACGAGGGGGGATATTACGGGGCCCAGAACTAAGTTCAAAATATTTTGGATAAAGAACATTGATTTCGCTCTGTATAATGTTTTGGGGCAAGTTAGTAGGAAAGATGGTTTGAAAACAAATATCCCACGTTTAAGAAACATTACCAGTAACAGCAAGTTTACTAACAAAATAAAAAAAACACAATGGTCTGTTTGTGCCATTTTTGAGTTTCACCCCCCTAAAAAAGTTTTACAAATATCAAATTACATGAAAATAATTCAGTTTTCGCACGACATAGACTTGTCCCTGCCCCTCTATTAAAATCGATAATGTCAGGACCAGGCACCATTGTACTCGCAATCGAAAGTTTTATCGTAACATTGAACCATGTAAAAGTTAACATTTGTCGGTTAAAAAAAACCAATGATTTTGTTGGAGAGCCCATTTAATCTGAATGGGAAACTAACATTTCAATCGATACGGTGTCACATGAAAATCCGACTCCTATGAAAATCGGACCCCTATTTCCCTATTATTGGTTGATCCCCCGCACGTGACAAGTCACTCTCCCGAAATGATCCTAAAATAGCATAGTATCGTACTCACGCGTGCGCAGTACTGCCAATGAGTCCACATTTCATGGAGTCGGATATTCACGCTACACCGGCACTGGTACGGTTTTCTGAGGTTACAGGCTCACGTCCACCTTTTCTCTGTTAAGCTGTACTCTGATCGAGAAGTGAACGCAGGTAAGTTTCAGTGTTGTAATACTCGTATTCGGTACTCGTACTCGTACTCGTGTACTTTTTTTGGAGTACTCATATTCGTACTCCAATGTCAAAGTACTCGTACTCGAAATAACGGTACTTGTACTCGGGCAGCAAAGTACTCGTACTTGACATGTCGAAATTGTACTCGATTATTAAAGTACTAGTACTCGAATAGCTGTACTCGGGGGATGTTATAGATTAATTCAACTACCACGATGACCTTATTTTATAGATGCTTTCAGTTTGAAATGGTTGATTGGCTTGTGGAGAAATCGAGATTTCCTGATTTGCCTCTGTGCAAGTACAGTCCGGACAAACACATTTAACAGCTTGCCATGAGTGGGTCTATATATCGGTCTGACTTGGCCTGGGCCAATTACGCACAATGAACCATTTGCCGTATGACCGTATTTGGAAATGCAAGTACTCTTACTCGTACTCGGAAGTACAAGTACTCGTTCTCGGAGACCCGTTCTTGTACTCGGAGGTACTCGTACTCGTACTCGGCAACACAAGTACTCGTCTCGGCAGTACTCGGTACTCGGAAAAAGTACTCGACTGCAACACTGAGGTTAAGTCAGTTAACAACATGGGTTAACCATTAGCCGCGGGTTAACCATCGAACCATTGTTTCTAAATTCTCTCTACCAAATCTATCGAATATCGATATTAAAAAATGACATATTTACTGATTGTATTCGTAACACGGTATAAGTCACGAGGCGTATTGGCATCGGGAATTGGGCCCCGGGGCATCGTCGGCAATGCAAGACTATTCCCTACAAGAATTGATTCTCATCCGATACCTGCAGATTGGCAATCGTATTACATACGTAATTATTTGTGAGCGGTATTTTATTTATTGCAGTGCGTATTTTTTGAAACAGTTATGTACGAGATATTAATAGGCATAACTTTTTTTTTCATTATAGTGATTCATAAAATGTTTCTTGATTTTGTGAACAATTGTGATTTTGTTGATTATTTGTGGTACATGTAGATTCAGTTTATTTGATGTTTTGTCAACACTAACCCGAAGAGAGCGGCTCGGAATCTGTTCCCTTTTCATTTGTTTTATTAGAAAACATGACAATTATTTTCTCTTTTGTTAATCAAGTAATTGGTCCATAACGGAGCTGCCTGCAGATTGTCAAGAGATCTTGGATGCTGGTCAGACAACCAGCGGTGTGTATACCATCCTGGACCACTACGCATGCCAGATTATGCAGGTCTTCTGCAGCATGGAGCCGGAGTCGGGGAAAGGATACATAGTGAGTTAAGTTTCTTATTTTTTTCAAAACCATGCTGTATTTTACAAGTCAAATGTGGTGGATGGATTGTGGATTTAGCTCCCAGCGGAATTTGAATTTAGAAATAATTTTTGAGTCAAAAAAATCCAGTGCCGCTCGTTATGGAAAAGCAATATAACCACTGTAAAAGGTTGTAAGTCCGTGCACACCGTGCACACGGGCACCGTTAAGTATTGAATCAGTAATTGTAATTAAGTGTAACAAAATCACCCCGAAATTGGAAAATTGGACCATACAAACTGTATGTTTCACTTGTCCCTGCCATCTAAAAAGTCCAATTTGTTGTACAAAACTGCGATTGTATCGAAATGAGTTATATTGGTTCCCAAGCTCCATATTTTTCTGTAGCGGAATTAAACAATTACATAAAAAAAAAAATTTTAAAGGCTTGATAATTATGTCCTCAGTTGATGTCTATGTCACTTTTTTTTTTAACTGGTGTTCTAGATCTAAATGTCCTCGTCGTATGGACATGTTTTGAGCCGCGCTTGGCAAAGCCTCCGATTACATTTAATCCCACAAACCTATAAGATATTTCTGGGTAAGTGGATCCGGTATTGTATCTCATTATTACCGTCACTCATATCGTTTCTGACAGGTGTTTCAGAGACGCCTGGACGGCTCGGTGAGCTTCAACCGAACCTGGCAGGGGTACGCCGAGGGATTCGGAGATCTGACCGGAGAGTTTTGGTTGGGCAACCAGAAGCTGCATAGTCTGACTCGTAACGGGAAGTGGGAGCTGGTTATCACTCTGAGGGCATACGATGGGGACGAGGCCCGTGTTCGTTATGGGTACTTCTTAATGGACTCGTCTGAGCTCAAATACGGAATTCATTTATCTGGCTTCAGTGAAGAGAGTGGAGATGCAGGTACTTAATACCCCAAACTTTCAGTATCCTTCCGTTTAGGACCTCTCTCATGAGTCTTGCACTGTTTTCTACGATGTCATTTTTTGGTTTAACTGTGTTGTTCTCATCTAATTATTCTAAAATTAATAAACTGATAAATCCTGATTTCTGATTGTATGAATCTGCAGGCAATAATCTGGATCTACCCCCTATTCCAAAAGGAACGCCCTATTCCGCCGCTTGCCTATTAATCCAACCCACGAATTGACCTCCATGCGGATCTATGGAATAATGTCCAAAATCAGAAGCGTAACAAACATTTATTCCCGGAGGGTTTAATGGGAAAAATCCGTAAAGAAGGTTGAATGCACCGTTGAAACTAAAAACAGTTTGTTCGATATCCAGGTAACATTTTATTAGTAATTACATCATGAACAGATCAATATGACAATGTCTAAAACCGAAAAGTAAAGACCTTGCATACAAAACAATAAAAAGAAAGAAATCGGTTCAGATGTCATACATTATTTTTTATTAAAGTGGTCCCTTCGTAAAAAAGTCCACGCATCATGCCTTATATTATATTACTGTAGTTATATACAAGGTCTGATCATCCTTCCTCTCTAATGCTCACAGGTAATTCACTCCGGATTCATCGTAACGAAGACTTCTCAACTCTAGATAAAGACCATGACAACACCAACCGGCATAACTGCGCTGAGAAATTCCACGGAGGCTGGTGGTACAACCGCTGCGGAAGCTACACCAGCAGGGACTTCAAGAGCAACCTGAACGGCTTGTACTACAACAACGCAACAGTCGATGATTACATGGGGATACAGTGGGTCACCTGGAAGGGTAAAAATATCTCTCTAAAAGGGTGTGAAATGATGATACGACGCGGACCGTAACCGGTGATCGAAAGGATTCGTTTTGAAAGATAACAATGAACCTAGGGGTGGTAGTGGGGGCGACAGATCTCAGTTTGGATTATTTTGGCAAAAAAAAAAAAAGACGCCATCTTCTAAAAACATATTGGGGTTTTTCGTTTAGGAAAATAGTTGAAAGGAGTGGGCTGGGAGGAGGCGGTATAAAAAAGACACACACGATGGCAACATATAAGAAATATTACCAGTGACGGCAAAAAGGATGCTCATTGTTCACTTGGGTTTTTAAATGAAATAAAATTAACAATGTACTGTTCATGATATTTTTCAGTTTCATCCCCCCCCCCCCCAAAAAAAGTATCAACTGGCTCCAACAAAATGCCTATATTGTCTTGGCGTAAAGAGGTGTAATGACTCCCATTATTCATGAAGTTTATTCAGAAATTCAGGCGTTTTGGATAGAGAAATAATACACTCTTAACTCGCGCTTTCCAGACGCGTCGGCGCTGCCATGTTCATTGCACACATATACCAATACCGGGCACACAAGTTGCCTATGTAGTCTTGAACACAAGTAGGTTTATTTCACTGTCGCAATCGGTAACCGACGCTGGTGGCGTGTATTAAGACAAATGAACCTGGTATCCCGCTCCATTAGCACGGCGCACTGATTTTACGCATGCTTTTAAGCCTATATTTCACTGGTCCCCATGCATGTGTTGCTCCGATGGACGTATACACAATGTACCGTATATTATACATGTGCGGTACTACCTGATGCATACTGTTCCTGGCCGTACGGTACGGGCAAAAACGTTAAAAGAATTACGAATCTTAACGCAGGGAGTTGAATTGGCAAGTCAAAAGAGCTTTTATTTTCTATTTTCTATCATTTTAGTTGTAAAAAAAAGTTAATTTCCATTTTCAATAATTTCAATAAATTAGTTTGACCCACCCATCCACATTTTCGAAAAAAAAAATTGAAATTTAAAAACATCGAAAATTTTGAATGGCCCCCAATGTCTTAAAAAAATCGAACTATTTGCCGCCCGACAATACTTCCGTACTCCAAGGGTAGACTGGATCCCACCCCTCTTTTAGAAACGATAATGTCAGGCTTTAATTTTGACCAGGTACAAATTTACTTGCAACTAGAACCCTTTTGCCGTAAAATTCAAACATGCAAAAGTGACAACAAAATTCATTTTTTTGGAAAGCAAGGAGAGTTAATTTCATCTGAATGGGAAACAAACATTGTCACATCCAGCTTTTCTCAATCTAGCCCAACTCTGATCTAGAAATTAGTGAACGCAGGTTAAGTCAGGTAACAGCCGAGGTTAACCATTAACCACGGGTTAACCAATGAACTATTGTTTCCAAATTCTCTCTAACTAAACTATCGAATATCAATATTCTAGGGAGGACCTCGATCGTAACATGGTCACGGGGCGTATTGACATCGGCCGTTAGACCCTCCTATACAGTGCTGGGTCATTGCCATTGGATATGTAAAGACTGGCAATCATATTACTTTCGTATTGTTTTTACAGGCATAGCGGCTGGAGTATTTTGTGTAACCGATTAATTAACAAAATTTTCATCAACACGCATTCAGATTCGTGCAGATTTTTTTCTCGATTTTGTCAATACTGGGGTTTTGTTTTTGGATACATAGTGAATTAAATTTGGTTTTTGGTTTTGCCATTCATGTTCGTTTTAGTCTTTCTACAGTGATATGGATTAGTGGAGTATATAGGTATTGCTATCTGTATTTCACTGTAAGTTGTTCTGATGATATTCTTGTTCCATAATTATTGTCTGGAATTGAATAATTCATTTGCATCATTAATCTGTTATTGCCCATGCCTGTCTCTTTAGTCATATAAACTCAAGGCAGCATTTTATTTAATTTTTTTGCCCGTGATTGTATGTAAGGGTGCGGCTCATTTTTCGTTATTGCTGTTCATAATTATTTTGACAATTTCAAATTAAAAGTTAACAAACGTTTGCAGAAATAGGGTTATCGTTATAACATGAAAACAAAATAATGCCTTTGTAACCTTTATAAGCGAATACAAATCAGAAAGCGCATACCACAAAAACAAATTTGAATGCACACATGTGAACAATGTAGAAATGGAATTCTTCATCAACCACTTTCTAGGTCTTTTGACGAATTTGAATGAAAGAAACGATTATTTGAGTTTTAATGAACTTATTTATCGAAAAAACTGCTCAAATAACGAAATCGATATATGTTTTGGTTCGAATGCCCATAAGGGAACATGCGTTGTAAAACGAATTTGCATTGGTCTCGTGTTAAATGGAACTTCTTTTTTTTTAATTGGCCAGGAAAGATTATGTTTGCGTTATATTACTTGAAACGGTCATGTGTAGTGGCGTACATTCCGGTCGGCGGGGGGGGGGGGGGGGGGGGGGGGGCTGATCAAACCGCAAAATCATCAACCCGGCCGTGGAAATTCGAAAAGTGTGGGGGTGGGGGAGGAGAACAGTGGGGCTGGGCTGGACACCACATGACACTTAGTGGAGCTATTTATGATACAAATGTACATGTAATGCAAATTTGCGAGCCTACGTCCCATAACCATACACAAAAAAACAGTGCGCTTAAAGCTTCTGTACTGTTCTTTGCCTTTTAAAACTATTTCATAAGTGGGGTCAAATGGGATAGTTGGTAAATTACAAGATAACAACAACATTTTCATTTCATTTCTCAAGAGAATCCAGGGGGAGGGGTGATTCCATGCCTTATCCCCTGGTTTAAAAATGGGGGAGGGTGTACCCTCCACATCGCCCACCCGGGATTTACGCCCATGGTTACGTGGTAAATATTAAAAGAGCATGAAGCTTTTTCACTTTGTATATATAATTCGTATAATATCAATTGATATTGTGGATAATTGTGATTGTGGTGAAAGTATTGCATATAGATTCAATGTATTTGATGTATAATATCATGATATATCAATTACCAATATTAACCTTAAAAGAGCTGGATGGATTTCGTCACCTATTCTAATAGCATTACCTCACACGTATTCAGTATCAAACCATGATTGCTTGTTTTGCTCGTGACCTACCGTACGTTTTAGCACCATTTTTTTTCTCAAAGAATTTTGACATTCTTGCGCAGTGTCATATTTCGACCCAGCTTGGGTATTAAAGCAAAAAGGAAAAGTTTTTCTTTGACCGTGCTTTGGAAAAAAAAAACTTTGCCATAGACGGAATAAACATTTAAATTATTTGTACAGAACTAAGGTTTGATGAACTAGAACATGGCAGACGTTCTAAATTAAAAAATATTGAAAAAAATAAGTTACCTCTATTTTCAAAGAAAATCTTCAATTTCCGAAATGTAAAATGTGAGAGGGAATCTTCACTCCGACGTATGGCTTTATCAGTACGTGTATCAGAATATATTAAGTATATAAATTTAATGAATTAATATTATATCAATTTATTGTTGTTCACATTGCAGCGTAGTTTAATTCGACTTCGTTTCGAAATTTTCACACTTACTGTGAATCGTCGTAAGGTATTGATTTAGGAGGAAATTGTTGATATGTGATGTAAAAGAAAGTATGTTAGCGGCCTGAAAAAAAACTATATTGTTGTCAACTGTTCACCTTTGTGTGATCTTTGACTGAAAAAGGGTATTGATGACATTGATGAGCAGTTGACCGGTTAGAGGCCTGATCGCCTTATATACACTTCGCCTTCGGCTTGGGCTATTACTCGGCGGCAAGGCCCTTTTAAACCACACGAATATAACTGCTCCATCACACTTTGGTTGGCGATAAGAACAATACATGGCTGCGGGAAAAGAAACCGGCGTTTTGAAACATCGCTCATTGTAAACACGTATTTCTTAATTATTCAGTTTAATCGAGCGTCATTGTTGTAGATTGTATTGTGAGCATTGATCATCAACCCTGTCAGAACCGGGCTATTTGGATTATTTATGCATGGTAATTTACATATTTTTGTATAAATTATACAAAATTTAGGACAGTATATGCCTATGTGTCCCAAAAAAATATTTTAGGCGACTCAAAAATGGCATCATTTGGTTGCGGTGCGGATACCGCCAAAGTTGGTAGGCTCATTTTTGGTCCAAAATATTGTTCAGGTTTTCATTCAAATGTTTTCAAATTTTGCAAAAGTAATACATGTACTTGCGCCATTAATACATCTATTCAGTCAGTAACCGGCACTTAATGTTTGGGGCTCCAACTGCAAATTGATGGGAGGATTTATACTAATTTAGATTTCCTTATACACGACTAAACAAATAAGTGCCCAAAAGTAAGAAAATCATGCAGAAAAAGGATAAAATGGAGTCGATAGCGGCCATATTGAATTGCCAAGTGTGCCGCAGCTGATCACGTGACCGAAAACAGGCTACTGTGGCCCGGGTTCTGATAGGGTCGAATTCATGGTAGATATGAAATTAATTGAATATCGTACATTGCGTATGGCTTTATCAGTATCAGTAAATTAGTGATATAAATTTAATTAATCAATTATTATATCAATTTATTGTTGTTCACATTGCTACGTAGTTTAATTTCGACTTCGTTTTGAAATTTTCACACTTACTGAGAACTATCGTACGTTATTGATTTAGCAGGAAAATTATGATATGTGATAAAAAAGAAAGTATGTAAGCAGCCTGAAGAAAAACTGTATCGTTGTCAACTGTTCGCCTTTGTGTGATCTTTGATTGATGAGATTGATGAGCAGTTGACCGGTTAGAGACCTGATCGCCTTATATACACCTCGCCTTCGGCTTGGGCTATTATTCGGCGGCAAGGCCCTTTTAAACCACACGAATATAACTGCTCCATCACACTTTGGTTGGCGTTAAGAACAATACATGGCTGCGGGAAAAGAAACCGGCGTTTTGAAACATCGCTCATTGTAAACACGTATTTCTTAATTATTCAGTTTAATCGAGCGTCATTGTTGTAGATTGTATTGTGAGCATTGATCATCAACCCTGTCAAAACCGGGCTATTTGGATTATTTATGCATGGTAATTTA